ATAGATAGATAGATAGATAGATAGATAGATAGATAGATAGATAGATAGACAGATGATAAATGGATGGATGGATAGATGGATGGATTGATTTGTTTTATTGGTTCTTGATGTTACTCTTCTATATAAAGAATAGGACTGACCTATCCGATAACTGATCTAAAACTTATATTCAGTATTTAAGTTTGATTTTAACATGGTGAATCACTTTTAGATGTAACAATAAATTTCCGTCCTGAAGACAGAAAGTGACTTTTTTCAGTGGCATAGTTAATGGTATATTTATGGCAAAATTTGGGCCAAATTTTCTCAAGAAATTTTGCAAAATTGTGCACATTTAGTGCACATCTTCTCACAAATTTGTGTCTCCAACTCATCCCCAGCAAACATGAAGGTATTACCTTACAGCAGCTCACTCAAGGTTTGCATGAAACCTGACGTACAGTATGTGAACCAAAATCCCATCAAAATTTGATTTGTATGTTCATGTGTGCAGTTTGGGTGTTTATGGCTCAGGTGACAGACATATCGAGTTGCTTTTAAACAGCAGCTCTCAAAATTTTTCCAAATCCGTCTGCCGTTGTTGATGCAGACCAGTTATTTCACCAGTAAAAATGATTTACGCACAAGGAAATGTAAACATCAATGACCTTTAGCAGTGCATGCAATTGGCTTTCTATTGCTTATGCAACCCAGTGCTTTTTACTACCCCTGGAAGCCACTGGCTTGTGATATAACCTTGAAATCAGGCCAAAAACCAGATCAATTGTTCCTCTAACAGTGGATTACCATGATTCATCTCCTTTTTAAACCTGTGTCCCTTCCCCTGCCTGTCCAGTTTTCCACCCGTACTTGGTCTGAAGGTGCCTAAGGCTAATCACTGGGTAAGGACCTGATCAATAGGCTTTTATTACACAGAACTGTCTCGTCTGCTCCATGCATTAAACAGGGCTGGATTCTTTCACACAATGACCACGAAGACTCGCAACCGGCGCTTTTCACACATTGTAGTGCCATGCGCCCATATTCACACGTAATTTAAAAGCAAATTCACAAGTGATAACCCTCAAGTCACACAAAGAGGACACGTGCAGAACATCAGTGGCAGCAGCATTGTGTTGCTTTTAGGTATTCAAACCAAATGGGCTGCAAAACCATTTATTTGTTGCCTTAAAACCTAGATATTAAATGTATTTTTAATTAGATTATAAGCACGACTCTAAAGGTATGTCTTTATGAGCTTGGTAACTAAAAATCTAAACGTCCTTGAGTTTTGGTGAAATGATCTGTTCAGGATCCCTGTAGCAAACACCTCATGGAGAACTTCTGTTCATAGTTTTATGTGCAAAGTTGCATGTGGAAAAAAACTGCTGGTTCAATCTTTTCTCAAATCTCAAAAGGCCTTTCAGCTCTGAAACTGGGTGATCTGCTTTCCAGAGTGTGTGCCACTGCTTTCTTAACATAGACTGTCACTAATAATAGAAAATGGGGGTGTAAGGCATCAACATGAGACTGATCACTGCATTGCAGTAAACCGTAGTGTCCTGACTGGCCAGATATAGTTAGCTGCAGATGTACACACAGTCCTCAAGGCAATGTTAATGTTCTTATTATGGATTTTGCATGGGAAAAAACGTATTCAAGCATGCACTTACAGAAAGTGTTAAAGCACAAAATGGACTAAGACCATCCTGATCCAACCATGTTTTGTTTTTGCAGTTTATGCAAATTCAGTTTTAACATTTAACACCAACATTTTACAGTAAGTGACTATTCTGGCAGAAATATTATGATAGTCTTTCTGGAAGTGCCACAGGTTGCACCAGAAGTACTACAGCTAGCTGCTGTTGCTATTTGCAAGTGGAGAGAACCACATAAACCTTTTTTCCCCTTCTATTTCTCCACAGAAAACCAATAAGAAGACGAGCCTCAATGCAAACGCAAGACAGACCTGAGCTCGTATTGCCTCCCTGTCCATCAACAGTACGTTAATGGTTGGAACCGACCGCCCCGACCTCCATCACTGCCCGCGCAGACATAGCCTGATGATCACCGGTGCCATGGGAGCGGTGCGGGTAAACAGGTAAGGTATGGTGAGGAAGGAGAGGGCTTTTTTAAAGTCAGTTAACCACAGTTATTTTGTTTCCTAAACAAACATTTTGTTTTTACACATACAGAAATGACAGATCTGTGGGGTTTATCATTAGTTTTTTTAACCCTCCAAACTGAATAAATACAATGAAATAACTATATTTTTAAATAATTTGAACTATAGTTATAATCAGCTAATGATCGGGACTTTTATAAAGAGTTATGTTTAATAATGTTTTTCTGTCTCATTCATCATCAGACCTTAAAACCTGTGGTCCAACTGTTGCTTAGCAACAGTAGCTAACTATTTTGGTCTGATGAGACAGATCTATTCACAGAATTAGAAGAAACGCTTCGTGTTTGTCTTCTCTGAACTTGCAGTGCTTCGTTATCTGCAGGAACAACTTTAGACCTTTGTCAAACAATGACATCATTGATGTTTGGTTGTTTTTTCTGACCCTAATCCAGATGTTTTACATATTTCTGTAGTTTCTCTGTTTTTAGGAAAAATGGATATATAGATATATCAAAATTTTCATTATGCGTCTGTTACTATATAGGTAAAAGAAAGAAGCTTGACAACAAAGTGAACAATGTAATGTCCTGCATACTGATAATAAAACTTAAAGCAGTATTTTTCATGAATTTTGTTTGTTTGTTTTTGTTTGATTATTTTAGATACAGTATTGTTTCCACTGATGAAGACATCCTAAAGATCTCCAGCCTGGGCCTCCACAACGGCCACAGCCCTCTGACTCAGCAGAAATTGTCAGGGGCCTGCATGCGAGACAAAGAAGGAGGAGGTGAAGGAGACTGTCCAGGAGGTGATGAAGGTCGAGGGGCTTTGCCCTTGAGGTTGACCAATGAGAACGTCATCCACAGCAGCTGCCGTTCTTCGCCTTCGTGCCGTCTGGACCTGGACCTGAGCGCCAGACACCTTCGCACTCGCTTCGTGAAGAAGAACGGCCAGTGCAACGTGGTTTTTAACAACATGGAGGACAAACCGCGGCGATACCTGGCTGACATCTTTACCACCTGCGTGGACATCCGCTGGCGTTACCTGTTGCTCATCTTCACCACCACCTTCCTTCTGTCATGGCTACTGTTTGGTCTGATCTTCTGGGGCGTGGCCCTCGCTCATGGAGACTTTGAACTACGCATTCCCATGAAGGACGAGTATTCTCGGGGTTCCACAGAAGCAGGCAAAGACGAGTGGCGGCCGTGCATTCTCCACGTTCAAGGCTTCATCGGGGCATTCCTCTTCTCTATCGAGACCCAGACCACCATCGGATATGGRTTCCGATGTGTCACTGAGGAGTGCCCGATTGCTGTTGTGACAGTGGTGGTGCAGTCCATCGTTGGCTGCATTATTGACTCTTTCATGATCGGCACCATCATGGCAAAGATGGTTCGACCCAAAAAGAGGGCACAGACCCTCCTGTTCTCCCATAATGCAGTCATTGCTTTGCGAGACGGCAAGCTGTGCCTCATGTGGCGCCTGGGGAACATGCGCAAGAGCCATATTGTTGAAGCCCATGTGCGCGCTCAGCTCATTAGGCCCCATGTGACAGCAGAGGGRGAATACCTCCCTTTAGAGCAGACAGACATTGACGTTGGCTACGACGAYGGACTGGATCGCCTGTTTCTGGTGTCGCCTCTGGTGATCGTCCATGAGATCAACAAAAACAGTCCACTGTATGACCTGAGCTGCAGTGACTTACGGAAGGAGGACTTTGAGATTGTGGTCATCTTGGAGGGAATGGTGGAGGCCACGGCTATGACCACGCAGGCCCGTAGCTCCTACCTGGCAAGGGAGATCCTCTGGGGCCACCGCTTTGAGCCGCTAGTGTTCGAGAAAGGCGACCGCTACCACGTGGACTATTCCCGCTTTCATAAGACTTACGAAGTGCCATCTACACCTTACTGCAGTGCCAGGGAATTGAGCCAGAGAAAGGGTCAATCATCATCCTCCAGCTCAAGTTACTCCAGGTCCCCGTCACCATTTGCCCCAAGGGCTGCAAGACGCCTTCAGGGCTCCCACTCCCCCAGTGCTTTCTGCTACGAGAATGAAGTAGCTTTGTGCTGTGGAGACGACGCAGATGATGAAGGAGCAAAAGTAGAACTCGAGAGACTGAACGTAGGAACTAAAAGGGAAGTCAAAATGCGAGATGACATTCACTTGGATTTTAAGGGGACTTTTGTGAAAGAGACGGTGGAGATGCTGTGTGTTCTGGACACGGAGAATCAGCTCAGCTTTGACAGATTACAGCCCACCTTACCTTTATACATCAGCAGAGAATCAGGAGTTTGAACAATGACGCTGGCTGCCATTTTGTTTGTTTCCTCATTTTGCCTGCATTTAACCAAAGTATTCAACTTGTGTAATAGAAGCTATACATACAACTAAAACCAGATATTTACATACATGGTACACAAAGACACACAACATTAAATCAGCCTGAATATTTCCTGTTTTTGGTCAGTTTGGATTCTTCAAATTATTTATATTTGCTAAAATCCCAAATGATGAGAAAGGAAATGTTTTATTACCTTCTTCAAAGTCACAGGTTTACATACATTGTGTTAGTATTTGGTAGCATTGTTTTTAGACTTTATGATTTGCTCAAACATTTAGCGTTTCTGTCTACAAGCGTTTCACAAAAGTTTGCATTCTTCCTGACAGAACTGGTGTAACTGAGTCATGTTTGCAGGTTGTTGTTCTTACACACAACCTTTCAGTTCTGCTTGTTTTTATGGGATCAAGATCAGAGCTTTGGCATTTCAAAACATTGACTTTGGTRTCCTAAAGTCACTTTGTAATTAATTGGCAGTATGTTTAGGATCATTGTCCATTTGGAAGATACAGTTGCACCAAAGCTTYAACTTCCTGCCTGATGTTCTGATATATTGCATCACTTTTTTATATGATGTTTTACTGCAGTAGCTCGGTGGTCAGTGCTGCGGTCTTGTAATCTTCAAACTCAGGTTGCAACGAAGGGCATCTGGAATGAAACAATTGACAAATCTTTGATGCAAGTCCATTTGCCATGGCAACCTCTGCAAAAGGGATGGGAGACTGCGATGAAGTGATTCAATGCAATCTGCTGGATTCCTTACATTGATTATTTTTTTGTACAGTGCCCTGAGATGACATAAACTTGTTTTTTTTCTGATGATGTGATCATTTTTGTGAAGTGTGCTAGTTTGTGTTGCATCACATCCCCATAACATGATGCTGCCTCCACCATACTTCACAGTTTGGACGATGCTAGCTTTCCTCCTTTTCCACTAAATGCAGCGATGGTCATGATGGACAAACAGTTCAATTTTAGTTTCATCAAACCACTGGTTTAGTCTGATTCAATGTCAGACAATTAGAAAAACATTATTCTGTCTTTTTATACAGTATATGTAAACATCTGGTTTCAATTGTGTTTGAACAAGAAGGGTTTTTTTTATTTTTGCAGTTGCTGCGAAATCTTGATAACTTTTGTTTAAGATAACAAACACACTCTCAGCATGTTTAATCAGTACATATAAAAACCTCACCGTTCCTCGAGCACGACGACCCGATGTTGCCCTTCAGGGCTTCTTGAACACTTCACTGTTTTCTTCTTGGTTTCTTTATGATCGTTGTGTGATGTATAAATTACTGATTGTTGATTTGTCTGTACATATGTGTGTTTGTTCTGTTTACACAGCTCTTAGGAGATCTTAACACATTTGGAAGGAGGCAAAACAGAAGTGCTCCATGCTTTTCTTTTTGTTTGTGTATCATCCTGCCTGAGGTTCTTTTAATGTTTGATGATTAAAACCTTAGGAATCTATCACACTTTTTGTGAAATCAAAAGCAAGCACAAATTAAATGAAATAGTCCAGAAACATGGAACAGAACTTAACTAAAACCTGTGCAGTTAAATAACAAGCACGTTATCTTTATTCTAGGTTTTGCCGATAGATGTAAACTCTCTTCAACTTTTTTCTGTTTTGTAAAAGCAAACACGTATTAAACAGTTCATACTGTTAACACTTGGATAGTTTGTGTTGTGTCTCTATACCTGTTTCCAAATGGACCCATTGAACCATGTTTGTTTCTAACTGTGTCTGAGCTGCACAGAGAGCGTTTTTGACTTGCAAAGACACCTCTAAAGGCCCTGTTACACTATGACRTTTTACACAACATGAGCATTTTAAAGATATTAATGTTGATGATGGAATTTAAAAAATCAACTGGAAGCCTCTTTTAGGCATGCACTGTAATGCTGATGAATTTTAAATAAATCACTGTTATTAGTAATTTCGACAAAAAAAGTCATRAGTTGTGTAAAATATTATGGATTGAAAGGGCTTTAAAGCTCTAAACTGTCTGCTGGCTTTCATGTTTTTAAACTAAGCTCATACAAACTTTGAAAATTTCAATATATGCAATCAGGCACAATTGAGCAAGACCTTATGCAATCTGTATTATTTGTTTGGGTGACTTTCAGCTACTACCACATCAATTTTAGCTCAGTATCTGTAAAATTGACTGAATTGTCAAATTGGCTGCAGCAGAAGTACAGCTGCAGTTAATCAGGCATGTTTTTCATCTGTGTAAGGAAACAGCAGTACCCACCGGTGCATGGACAGAACACGCAAACTCCACACAAGACATAAAGGGAACATGTCACAATTTTTCAAATTAGAATTGCCAAAGTGTGGGATGTGAGAATACTTGAGCTGCAGGCCTGCAAAAAAATTATGAGGCTTTTGGGGGAAATAATTTTAAAAGTGACATTTTGAAGAATATGAAGAGAGTTAGTTAAATTTTTAATTAAAGAACAACATGGACACAAAACAATGACTGTACTGAGGTTTATCTGGCTGAAAGTTTTCAACAGGCTCCATCGTGTGGCTAAATAAAGACACAACAGAAACAACAGAGCTGTTGGTTCTAGTTTTATTGAACATCTCTACATTCTAACAATATCAGCATTATTTCTATGACTGAAATATATTTGTTACATTTCTTGCCTAAACAACATTTCTGATATAAATTATAAGGACTTTATGACACCATGAAAAAAAATCCAACTTGAACTTTAATATAAATAACTGGACACAGATGCAAAATTGAAGATGATGACCTGAAACTTGTTTGTTGTTGAATTCAAGTAAAAATACAGAACTATCAAACATCTTAAAAGTAACTTTCACAAATAGATGTTGTGCAAGCAGACTTTTTTCTGTCTCAGAAAAAAAATCCAGAAAAAAATATTATTCTTCAGACCATTTATTTCTTAAATACATCCTGAGTTTTAGGTTTTTGAATATTGGCTTACCATATCAGGACCACATCAGGACCAGATCAGGATCAGGACTTTGTAGCCTTCTAGGAGGCACCAGGCCTGAGAACAGGTATATTGCTACAACAGATCACTTTAGAGCCACATTACTTCTTCAAGATTCAGTTCTCTAATTTCTCCTAACTTCTGCAGCTCAGTTTTAAATCTTTCCAATCTGTCACAAGACAAAAGGAAGTTAAAGACTGGTCAGTTAAACATTTCCTAGCGAGATATTTCCCGTTGCGTGCCTCAGCCCCTGCTGTCTCCTCATCCTGCTCTTCGTCTGTTTTCTGATGCTGCAGTTAATTGTCCGCGTCGTCACATCCCTCTGTCATCAGCATTTGTGAGGAGAGCAGCTGTGTGACCTCTGAGACCTCTGGTAAAGTTGCTGAGGGCTGTCCAGCATCCAGCCTAATAAGCTGCWGTGTGCTCCTGCAGGTTGAGTGTCCGTGTGCTTTCATGTGTGTGACACCGTGTGTATCTGCGTGCCCTCTCCGGCCTCGCTGGCGGTTTGCGGCCTGGGGCTGGTGACAGGGTGTAAGCTCGGCGTGGGGGGGGGG